TTCCCCCCCCCCCTTTTTTTTTTTTTTTTTTTTAAAAAACATGGGGAGCTTTGGGTTTACAGCTGGGGCAGAAAGACCCTTCCTAGTTCATACAGATCTATAGCAGAACAGGGCCCAGGTCTATCAAGTCCTGGACAGCCTGCTCTAGCTGACCCTGCTTGAGTGGGGGGACAGTGTTTGGACTAGATGATCTCCAGAGATGCCTTCCAATCCCAACTATTCTGTGAGATCTGACAGGTAAAATATTTTTTTCATGAAAAATACTTTTGGTATTTTATTACCTTAATAGGAAATACTTCCTAAAAGTTATCTTGTCCCTCTTATTTTAATATCATTCATAAAATAAGTTTTATATGCATATAAAATAGTCTGTTAAGAATTCAGATTGATTCATTTCAGTGAGGATGTCCTATCAGCTGTCAGAATGAGAAGAGATATGCTTCTCTTCTACTTCTCAAATAATTTGACTCTGAATAATTGGTATAAAAGCAAATATGCCTCAGCTTGATTCATGAATTCTCTATTGAGTTTACACTTCTATTAATGAAGTGCTTAGCTTAGTCTAGCCAACTGTACATGAATGACTTCCAAATCTGTGAAATGTGCCTCTTTGTACTTGTTCTGTTGTGCTTTTGCTACTGTTTAGAGAGAAAAATGTAATTACGATCTATGCCTCATTACTGTAGCTTTTTTGAAAAAGTTGGAGTGAAATTTTAACTTTTCTCAGCAGCTAAAGGAAGACATGTTAAACTACTGGGCCAAATGATTCTTCTAGTCTTTGTGGAGTCATTTTAGATTCAAGTCAATGAAGAGTTTACCAAATTTATGCTGAGTAAGTGATGTGTTAGTTCTGATCTATATAAACCTGTAAATAATTAGAAGGCAAGGTCCATAAAGCAATGAATCCTTTACATGTTATCTCAAGAGAATGTTTTCTTCTATTTAGCACTCTCTAGGATCTTAGCTATGTGATTGTTAAAACCACATGATTTAATAAATAATAATCTAATGCAAAAAACAGTAAGGATTTGGTTTCTTACAGGTAAATATACAACTTGAAAAGGAAGCTGCCTTCACAAAGAAGTGAAGTCTTGAGCCATCTTGGTACTGCTGCAAGGTATGTTTTGCTATTGCCTCTTGGTTTTTCCTTTTAAACAAACAAACTTAAAACCTCTGGATTAAAAATTTAATTACAAGAACAGCTCCTGTAAACTAAATCTGTTAGTTTTGTGGTGCAAAATACCCCCAAATTTGGAGCAGAAACTTTCCTTCCCTTTCCTTTCTCTCCCATGTGGTAACTGATTGCTGATGGGAAACCTCCTTTCAGGAGGGAAGATCTTGTCACTCTCCCAGGCTGTCATTGAGCTGTAGATAGCAGCCATTTGTCCACCCCTCAACATGGCACTGCCTTTTCAGAAGTTTGAAGGTGTTTCAAAGATCCTCCAGGAATCCTTACTAAATGTCTGACCTCCCCCCCCCCCCCCCCCCCCCTTGGAAAACTGGACCTCTTTAACCAAGAAGTCCAGACCCCTAGTTATTTCTGAAATGTGCAAATCTCAATTGTGATAGCCTTTTCCATAAAAGGATCCCCTGCTGGGAGGCAGAAAGAAAAGGAAGAAAATCTTAGCTTCCCCCATGCCCTAGCTACTCCTGGAAACACCACTTTTCTACCTCTGTTTATGGGGGTTGCTCCTGATAGCCAAAAGCAAAACTCTGTCCACGCTGAAGCTAATAGGAGTTGTGCTGTTGTCTTTAAGGGAGTGAGAATGTTGTCTTAGTCATTGGTGGTGTAGGAAATCCAGACCCATTTATCTGTGAATTTTTCTTTCTGTAGTAGGACTGAGACTACACAGATGCCCACCCTGGCTGGGAAGGAGGTATGTACAGCAAGGTGAGAAAATAGTCATCTACCAGGCTTTGGCTGGGACCAGAGATGATCCATCTGATGATTAAAAAATCTTTGCATTTGCCTTCATCATCAGCCCTTCCAGTCTGCAGGGGAGGTACAAAACCAGGTATGTGCTGTTCCAACTCAGTTGCAGAAAATAGCTCTTTGGGGTGAATGAATGTAAACTTGTCTGATCCCACTCTGAGGAACTGGCAAGTCTTCCATCCTATTGATCAAAAGCAGGAGGGGACAGATGAGCAGATATAGATATCAGATCCTATGCAATTAATTCAACTGACATCAGCAACAAAAGTAATTACATTCCTATCAATGGATTGAATGTATGTTGTTATTTACTCTATTTAACATGTGTTTAGCAATTAGGATCCCAGTCTGCAGGGATTCATGCTGTAACTTAGATATATTTCTGTATAATTTAATTGGAAATCTGACAAGGAAATTCTATTCTCCCACCAAATGGGTGTTGTCTCTTGAGTGAATGAGCTGTGCACAGGGGCACTTTGCAGTTTGGGCAAGTGTTAGAGTAATATGGAAAAGAGAAATGGGAGAGGAATCTCTCCAAACCAGTGCACTTCACAAACTCACAGTGGCAAAAATTAGTGAGCACGCCATAGGTATCTGGTAGTTTTCATATGCATTTCATTTCTGTGAGTGGGCTTTTGTGCCAGTGATGCCTCAGGGAATTGCTGTGAAGCTACAAATGGGAAGTTTCATATCTTTAAGGATTCCAAATGTCACAGGAGGCAAATCTGAGTGGGAGGCTGGGGACAGCAGCACACCTCGACTGCTTTGGCAGTGTAAACAGCAAAGCTCTCTTCAACCAGATGTGTCCAATACTTGGGCTCTTACAGTTGGAGAGAAGCTGCAGCACTGTCTCTCTGTCTTGTGCTATGGCCCAGCCCCTGTGGCATAAGGATTTCCTCAGGAACACAGTCCTGTCCTTCCCCAGCAGGCTCCTTGCCTTAAAACAGCTGAAATGGCAGGGTGGGATTTTCAGAAGTTTCAAGGTGCCCATTAGCATCCTTTGGCACCTGAATGCTTTTGAAAACATCTGAAAATCACCTTTGTTCTCCCAGAATCATAAATTCATGAAGGAATTAAGGAGTTTTTATTGTAGGTGTGCTGGTGGCCTACAGGATCTCCTGGTTCTTCTTGCTGATTGCAGGCTAGAAGAGCATATTTTTCATGTGGGGGTCTCCATTCAGGTTGAGCAGAGGATTCCAGCCACTCTCTGGAGATCTTTTGGTCTTTACCTGAGGAGAGGAAGAGACTCACTCCTCAGTGTGATCCTTGGGAGTGAACTCCACTATTACATGTTCCACGTTCTAGTAGAAGCATGTGATGAAGTACAGTCATCAGTCAGCAATGGAGAATGCTATGTGTACAAGTGGTCAAACTGTTCAGGGAAGAGGTGATAATTTTGATTTTCATGTAAAAGGGGAGCCTTGAAAAAAATGAGCCTTAGAGGTTTCTCAATTAAAATAATCAGATGAACTTTCAGAGAGCTCCATTCTGATATGAACATTATCAAAGCTCGTAAGTGAAGTAGCAAAGGTGGTGTAAAAATGAGCTGTACTCCAGTGCACAGGTGAGTTTCTGCTTTATGAGGGTTTGCTGATTGATTTTGTGTTAGTCATACTTTATGCAAAAATAAAAAAAAAAAAAAAAAAAAAGGACTTAATTTCAGGGTGGGATCTTATGTATGTGCAGGCTGTTTATATTGTTAGTGTGATAACTAAAGTACCTTGGACCTGGACATCATGTTTACATTTTCCAGATGTCTGGGGTCATCACTAGTAAATGAATGTTTGGTTATTTCTGAAAGCTAAGGATGGAAAACAAAAAATGTGCACCCAGAGGGTCATGATACTGGCTTGCTTCTTAATTTGTATCTGTCTGTGTAGTTACCTGTAACTAGCAGCCATTTTTACATAATGCTTTTCCTTACAGACCTCAACACAGTGAAAAAAGTGAGGTAAGATGTAAGTATTTTTTTTTTCATTGCTGAGACATGACAAATCTGTTTTTTCTTCTCTCCCTATTCACTCCTGTTCCTGTCCACTAGGTCACACTGCTTCTCCAAGGGCTACTTGCTAAAAATAAACAATAAAAATAAGCTGTTCCTGCTGTATCATTATGCTAGGAAACCTTTGCAATTAAAGGAACAACATGAAATCCATCCCATCACAACTAGAAGAGCAGATTTCCTCCTGCATTCCAATGAGGGTGATCTAATCTTTTTGAACTGGAGCTAGGTCTGAACTGAACTCTCGGTTCCAAATTTTCAATAAGCTTTGGAGAAGTCAGGATCTGAATGTTGCCCGATCCTTCTGGTGGGTCAAACTGAAAACTCCACTTGAAGCATGT